TGTGTGTGTGTGTGTGTGTGTGTGTGTGTGTGTGTGTGTGTGTGTGTTTGCACAAACAAGATGCCTGTACCCTCCATCTATACAATACTTCACAGAACAAAGAAAAGTGGAATTTGCTAGAAGTGGGTCACATTCTGGTCATGCTGTTTCGCAGGTTGGTCATGATGGAAATAGCTGCGTATTTAACCATGTGAAGTGGAGCATATGATGTAATTGTGTGTGTGTGTGTGTGTGTGTGTGTGGAGGATCAAACATGGGAATGAGCCGATTGAGTCTTTTGTTTTCAGCCTCTCTTTGTATTGTGTTGATACTGTATGACTTTTAAAACCCATTAGTGAGCTACTTTCTCACCAGTGGGGGTGAAGTGCTGGAGTGTTGGCAGTTGGCAGAGCAGCAGTGACGGTGAGAAAAGCTCCTTTGAGTCGAGCTTTAGCCAAGTCACGTGAAGAAAGGAAGATGAGGTCGGGGGGGACAAAAGGCAGGTGGCCCGAGGATCAGACACACAGTCGGGTCATAAAAATCTTTGTTTGTATCAAAATATAAAAAGCTTTGCAATTAAGTTTTGCAAAGTCTTACGTGTGATCTTATCTCGATACTCACAGTTTGGATCAAAAATTTCAAATAACTGCTTTTATGTGATTCAAACAAAACTGTGACGGTGCAGCTGGCTGTGTGTGTGTGTGTGTGTGTGTGTGTGTGTGTGTGTGTGTGTGTGTGTGTGTGTGTGGCATGCAAATATTTTCAAGTGCATGGTCTAATGAGGGTAAGCAGAGTTAACTTCATTAGCCCCTGACAGCATCTGTTCAAGGAGCAAGGGTGACGTCACCGTCGTCCATCAACACAACGCAGCACATACTGCTTCCTCTGCTACTGAGATGTAACAGAACTACAGCAGTGTTTTCCTCTCCACAGATTCATTTATGCTAATTGATCACACTGATCCAATCAAAATACATTATTCTAACTTGTAGCACACGTGTTTATGCTGCTTCACAACACTTTGTAGTCACACTTCCAGGATAAGGCTGCTAATAACCTATATTTTGTCAACAAATCCATGAAGACACATTAACATGGTGTTAGTCCGTCTCATGATACTTTATGACCATCTTAGCCATTTGTTCCTACTGAATTCGTAAATCTTAAAAAATGGGCCTTGAATAAAAACTCTCCGAATTTATAGAGCGTAACTTATATTATAAAACTGCAGGTTTTAGCAAATGTTACTTAAACAGGAGTACATTTTGGGGGACTTCTTTCAGCTGCAGATTTGGTGCTCTGGCGAGTATTTACAGCACCATACAGTGGTGCATGTGGGATTGATTTTAAATAAACCACAGTGACCATGTTCATGGTAATAAAGGAACATGTCAGCAAGTCCAACAGTGTGGCTTAATTGATTTGATGAGTTTTTGGATGGCAATGGAGGTCGATGGCACAAAGGAATAAGCTCAGACTTTGGATACACAAACAATTCAGTTTTCTTTTAATGGGATTTGTTGACAAAAACAAAAGAATATCACGAGATCTCCTTTTAACCTGAGAGCCTAATGTCTCACTAAGTAATAAAAGACACAGATGGCAGATGTGAAGATTTTTTTAGAAACATGTACAACATGTATCATCACTCTCCAGTACCGTTATCTCTTTTCCCTCAGTCCCCCTCTAACTGCCTCTTCTTCAATGCCTGCTCGGTCCCTGAGAGCCTGTACGTCTGTAGTTGCTGTCACAGGCCATTGTGCCACACACAAAGAGCCTGAGTCCACTCCAGTTTTGGGTCCATTCATGAAGAGCAGTGGTGCATGAACCAGGCTCTCCCTCCAGTCCCAGGCACCCCCAGAGATCAGCCCTCTGGGAGTGAGAGGACAGACATTGATCAAAAGCTAGTCAGACAAGAGGAAGAGTAAAGGGTGGGCTGGCTGGGTGGGTGGGCGGGCAGGAGTATGTTTGGAAACAATGAATGGAGACATGGGCTGGGAACATATTTCTGTTTCCCTTTTTATACTCTGTTATCTTAAGAATAATCCCTTTGTGTGTTTTGTTCCAACAAGCTTCGTGTTTAGAAGTTGATAGATTTGTTGTCATAGATTGAGCCTAAATAATGCTTATCCAAAATATTACAAAGGGAAGATTAACATTGAAAAACATTTTCAGTTCAGTTTAGATGGAGCCTAAATCTGTCTCCTTTCCTGTCTCTCCAGAGATGACGCTGCTGTCGTCCCAGCCCAAACCGCTCGACTCAACCCCGACCTCGGACTCGACCCCCGCCGCCGGCGGTACAGGCACCGAGGATCCCGAGCTGAGGATGCTGGAGAAGAGGTCAAAGGTCATCGAGGAGCTGCTGCAGACTGAGAAGGACTACATCAAAGACCTGCAGATGTGTGTCGAGGAGATCATCGAGCCACTGCAGAAGAAGCGGGTAAAGAGATGTGGATGTGGGGGAGGTGGCGTACGTTAAGAGCATGGCTCGAAATATAGTAGAAAACACTGTTAGTCTGAAACACTGTAAAATATGGGTTTGTTTACAATAAGGGCTAAAAAATGACAAGGGATGGTGTCCCTTTCACTACAGCACAGAACACAGACGTTTATTTCAACACATTTATATTTCATATGTTTGGATTTGTGGGGTTATGTTGATATGAGGTGCCTGTGAAATAGTATTCAGCTCCAAGAGAAACAGAGTTTTACTGAGACAACAAGGGCAAAGAGAAAACATCAGACAATTTAAAGTAACAGATACGTTTTGAGCATATTTGGGATATGATTTCATGGGCTTTTCTAGGTTTCTGAATTAAGTCTATTGAAGCAAAACATAACCGGGATGCTTCAAAAGAAAAACAATCATAAAGTGTTTTTTCACTGAGCAGCACAGAGGAACTTTTTACAGTTTTCAAACGTTCTATCTGCATTTCCTAAAAGGTGAAGAATGTGGACTTTGATGGGCTCTTTGGCAACATCAGCTCAGTGATCGACTTGTCACAACGCCTGTTTGAAACACTGCAGGACACAGACTCTATTGGTAAGAAGCCAGTTTTTAAAAGATGCATATCCTATGACGTCCTTTTACCGGCGACTTCTTCCTGCATGCTGTGCTTTGTACTTTATTCATGTTTCAACCATAAACTGTCACCTGTCAACTATCACGACTTTGAACTTGTTAGAGGAAGTTTAATTCATAGTTAAGTTTTGCCCCCAAATTGATATGTCTCTGCAGACTTATTCACCTTTTTTGTCATATCCTCCTCCTCCTTCCTCTGTCGTTTCCCTTTTTAAATGAACACACGACCTTACGTTTCTCTACCCTCTGGTCTCAGGAACGATATTTCTTGACTTCAAAGCGGAGCTGGAAGACGTTTACAAGATCTACTGCCAGAACCATGATGATGCCATCTCTCTGCTCGAGAGTTATGAGAAGGACGAAAATATCCAGTGTCACGTGTTGGAGTGTCTGGAGAGACTGAGGTGAGTCACTGAGAGGAGGAAAATATGTCTGAAAAAGGGGTCACTCACTAGTTTGAGATTTCAGCTTGGACCTGTGTGTTTCACTTTAAAAAAAAACATTTTGCACTTGAGTTACCAAAGATTTGCATGTTTGTGTGTGTAAAAGCATGAGAACATGAAAGCAAGAGTGGCTACTAATATAAAAATATTCAGTTGAAATAACACATTAACCATAAAAGGCTATGGATCATTTATTGTTTGTAGAGTTCAGTATGTGAAAAAGTAATGGCAGCTGTATTGTTACAGCATGCGTTGTATGAAACCCTTTTCAAAATGTCACTTTAAACAGGTTTTACAGTAGAATAATAACTGTGAAATGCAGTTTGTAGACATGTAAGGCATTGCAGTCACGTTGTTATTGAGTTCGAGACTACAGTGAGGTTTCCTTTTAGCCGACAGTCGCATGGATTTAATTTATGATGGGGTTTCTTCAGCAGACTTTGAACTATGATTCATGGGCACATTTTGATAGAGAAGGGCAGTTACAGTACATCTTTAAACATAAGAAGTACCTTTTCTCCACTCCTGCTGTGTGCATGCAACATGGACCCTATTAGATGAAGCAGTTTGACTGCTCCTCAGTAATGTATTGCAGTGACAAAAATGTGCCCTACCTGGTTTCACCTGTCTGGTTTCACCATCAGTGACTCACACATTCGACTTTACGCTGTTGTAAATTAAGGTCAGCAATCCGTGTTTGAAGATAAACACAGGTTTTGTTAAGACCAGAAGCTGTAGAACAAAAAGGGTGCTGGTTCCAAGAGGGAGTCTTATTAAACAAAAGGATCAGGAGCTTGTACAGATGTGTGTGCTGTCAACCCTTTGTTTACATTTACTTTTAAAATACAATTTTCCTGTCTTTTTGTAAGTTAACCATAATGTTGCAATAGTCTTTTCTAAAGTGCGTCAGCGTATGTTGCAGCCCTTTGAGCTCTAAAAAGGTCATGTGTTCTGCCACCTACTAGAAACTGCCAGGTTTTACTGCCACACTGGGCTTCTGTCCAGCTTTAAGAGAAAATTCACAAAACAAAACCATAACAACCGTGGCTTTTTTATTGACCTCGCAAAGTTCAAGTCAATTTTGTGGATTTAGTCTCTGCATAAGCAACTACTCTTTTACGTACTGCAGAATTTAACACTTGTGGAAAAAAATGTAACATTCATGAAAATGATCATCAGGTCATAGGTTTTTTTAAATCCTGTTTTTGTTATCTTTCTATCTCTTTCCAATCTTCCCTTCAACAGGGCCATGTATCGCGAGTGGTAAGTCTCCATAACGAGTGTTGTCATGATTTCCAGCATGACAATCGCATGCCTTTTGCTCACTAACCCCCCTGGAAATTACCTGTGTGTGTGTGTGTGTGTGTGTGTCTGTGTCTGTGTGTGTGTGTGTGTGTGTGTGTGTGTGTGTTTGTGTGCACTGAGTGTGGAGGATTCTTAAAACATCTATGCTGCCATTTCAATTCTCTCTGCTTGACTGAGATGAACTCCTATTTTATTGTTTGTGTTTGCACGTGCATGTGAATTCTGCATACTGTGAAGAAAAATATGCATCCTCTTCTGTGGATATGCAAAGTAATTGTTGATTCTGGGAAACATCTAATGCCATCTTCTGGATTAAAACAGCAACAGCATTTTGCATTAATTGATCTTTTCTCAATATTATGAGAATGTTGTGACATGAAGTGTTGAAAGTTCTCTTTATGAGGAATAGAGAAAATCTGGTCACCAAAAATCCACCTCTATAAAGAATATGAAAAATATGTGTTTTAACATGTTTTACTGTATAGAAGTGGAAATGGGTTCATCTTAAATTTGTTAATAAGATTCCATAAATCAAACACCAATTTCTTATCCTTATCATGTCAACAGCAAGAAATTATATTTTAATAATGAGAAAAGATTTCTACTTTAGAAGAAAGTGATCACATAACCAATTGAGTTGGTTGCTAAATTAATTTGTCCTCTCGATCGCATTAAAAGCTAAGCAAATCAATAATTTTGTTTATGGTGCCTTCCCTGTTCTTTTATGTCTCCCCAAAACTGTATTGATCATCATCAGAATATGTGATGATGGTTACATATCATTGGATCATGCACATGATATAGAGACATGTGTTACATGACCATGGGACCATAAATCAATAGCTGTGACTGTGATAGTGGCTGGAATGCCGACTGTACATGAGTCTCTCACTCTTCACATATTGTCATTTTTTCCCTTCAACCAAACACTATCTGCTGTCTCTGTCCCTTCTTCAGGGGGAAAACAAATTACATCAACCTCGGCTCTTTCTTAATCAAGCCGGTGCAGCGGGTGATGCGTTACCCGCTGCTGCTGATGGAGCTGCTGGGGGCCACACCGGAGAGCCACCACGACCGGCCCCAGCTGACTCAAGCTCTGCTGGCCATCAAAGAGATCAACGTAAACATCAATGAGTACAAGCGCAGGAAGGACCTTGGTAAAAAAAACTTAAAGGCTGCTGTTTTTTTTTTCTGTGTTTGGAAAAGTATTTATCCAGTACAGAGTCTGAACTGTCTTCCCTCTGCTGCCCACAGTGGTTAAGTACAGGAAAGTCGACGAGGACACGTTCATCGACAAGATCTCCAAGCTGAGCATGCACTCCATTATCAAAAAATCCAACCGTGTCAGCAGCCACCTCAAACACCTCACCGGAATTTCACCCCAGGTACATCACTGCTCATTTTGCCAACCCAAGTGGTGTTGTGCATGAAAACGTGCTGGTTCTGATCTCTTTCTATCTTTGTCCTCTGTCGTTTCCACAGATTAAAGACGAAGCGTTTGATGAGGCTGAGAAGAAGTTCAGGCTGCAGGAGAGACTCATCAAGTCTTTTATCCGGGACATTTCCCTGTACCTGCAACATATAAGGGTAGGAGCATTGACCATGAACAACTAAAATGAGCGTCTTTGTTATTTAGACCATATCAGAAGTAGATCAACTTAGAAATACATACTGTGTCTGATTCATGCCATTTTCATTGCAAAATCTACATCTAATTAAGTTCTTGATTAAATGTTCAATATTTTGTCTTGGACTACTTGTATTTTTGAACAACATGGATTGTAATACAATGCATCTCTCTAGGAATCAGCATCTGTAAAGGTCTTGGCAGCCATCAGCTTCTGTGACATCTACACAGAGCGAAGTGTCCTCGACCCCGAGCGCTTCCAGAGAGCTCACCGCTGCATCAGCGACAAACAGTTCACACAATTTGTGAGTCTTCTTCCTCTGTTTTTGCCTCACTTAGTTGCTGTAAAAGTGCATTGGGAATGACCTCTGATCACATCACATTATCTGTCAACCCTCTTCCCCATTCCCTGAGCAGAAGGAGCGCACAGAGGCCTTAGTCATCAACCCGCTCACCCAGCTCCTCCTCATGTTCGCTGGGCCGCACAAACTCATCCAAAAGCGCTTCGACAAGCTGCTGGACTACGACAACTGCAAGGAGCGCGCTGACCGACTCAAGGACCGCCGTGTACAGGATGAGCTGCAGGCGGCGCGCAACAACTATGAGGCGCTCAACGCCCAACTTCTGGACGAGCTCCCCAAGTTCCACGGTGCAGCAGAGGAGCTGTTGACTGGCTGTGTGAGAGCTTTCGCTCAATCCCAGAAGCACTTCACGAAAATGACACTGGGAGAGCTGAGGCCTCTCCTCCAGGCTGTGAGTTACTTTGTTTATGAGGGTTTTGAAGGAAATGGGACATTTTCTTATGAATATATGGAACTGATTAGAAAACCTTTTTTTAAAATAACTCAGACTGTTTCTTTACCTTTGTCTCCAGTTTTCTAACAAAGCTGGCACAGAGGGCAACCTGATCTCTAAGTTCCAAGAAGAGTACGGTCGAGTTCTCCAACTTCTGCAGAGCTTTAGCTTCTGCCCAGAGAACCTCCCTCCAGCCACCTCCACAAAAAAGACCTTCGAGAAGAAGACTCTTGAGAAGCAGATCTCTAAAAAGCTGCAGGCGCCTGTGAGTGGAGCTCTCATTCCATTTGTGCCATACCTTATGATTAATGAATAATGCACGAGGAGATCACGATCTAACCGTGAGTCTTGTCCTTGTCGCTTTCAGCCCAACCACATCATGCAGACTGATGAGCACCGTGCAGGACTTCTGGTACGCTATGGTCCTGAGAAACTTTTCCAGGCAGAGAGAAACTTCAATGCAGCGCAGGATTTGGACATCTCTATACTAGAAGGAGACCTTGTGGGTGTAATCAAGCAGCAGGACCCCATGGGGAGCAACAACCGCTGGCTAATTGATAACGGAGGTAGGTCATTTGTACTGTAAGCACTGCACTGTTTTTAATTTATCATATTTTGATGTGTGACGCACCAATAAAATCTATTTCCATGTCTTCTCTTGCTTTTTTGTTTTGCAGCCGGCAATGGCTTTGTGTACAGCTCCTTCCTCAAACCCTACAATCCACGCAGGAGCCATTCAGACGTCTCCATCGAGAGCCAATCATCGAATGAGTCAGGCTACGGCGGCTCCTCGCCTGTTTTCTCCCGCCAAAACAGCAACAGCACACTGACCTTTAACCAGGACGCGGCCACCGTCAGCTTTTCCACATCGCAGCCCCAAACCCATTCATCGCCGCACCCTTCGCTGGACTCTGCCTCATCTCGTAGGAGTCAGCACAGAGATGCACCCAGCCTGGAGTCTGCCAGTCAGAGCAACTCCATAAACTCCTCCCCGAGAAATCCCTCAAATCGCAAGGAATACTCAGACCAAACGCATCGGAATTCCGCCGGTCTCAGAGACACAGAGCCTTCTTACCGGCATTCAGGCAATCACAGAGACACGTACGACGCGAGTTACGCAAGTCTGAGCAGCCACAAGGAGATGTCGGACCTGTCGGAGACAGATTCTTATTCCTCACTCAGAAACAATCGCTCACAGCGGTATGGACACACGGACAAAACCTACAGTTCATACCAGTGGAAAAATGGAGATAGTAGTGGCCAGAAGAAAAGTTCTTACTCCAGAGATGAGTACACCGAGCCCGAGCCGGAGCCGGAGCCGGTGCCGGAGCCGGTGCCGGAGCCGGAACTGGAACCGGAACCAGAACCAGAAGATGAGAGTGAATTAGATAGTCATCAGGTGAGATTTAGTGTGACTGCTGTGATTTAATGAAACATTTACCATACCAAAACAAGGGCAGACCATTTATTAAATTGATTGTAGTAACTAGCGTTAAACTTGAATCTGAGTTATTCTGATGAGTGAATATCCCATTTGTAGAAAAACAAACAATCCTGGTAAACATTGGTGCAGTGGGGTGTGCACTGCTGTCTGTCACGGCCATACTTCATCTGACCACCAGATGGGCCAAACATGTTAATTAATTCTGCTTTTAAAATAGAAAAAGACAAAACACAAACTAACGATGACTTTGTTTTTATTCATTTTTTTTTAGATTTACTACGCTCTCTACTCCTTTGACGCCCGTTGTGCCAATGAACTGAGCATCTCAGCCAATCAGCGGCTGCGGATACTGGAGTTCAAGGACATGAACGGCAACGGTGACTGGTGGCTGGGGGAGGCAGGAGGCCGGCGAGGCTACGTGCCTTCCAACTACATCCGCAAATCAGAATATACATGAACCAACTTTTATCCTGAGACTGTACTTGGACTTGAAGAAGTCTCACTCTGCGA